GTTCTACAAAAACAATAAACATACCAAGTTAGATATACCAAAAACTACACTGTGAAGATATATCAAGAACAATAAACATAGTAGTAGTTTATTCTTCAAACTTAAATTTGCAACACTGTGAATTTAGTATTTGTATTTGTTTTTTTGTTGAAGTAATGCAATTCATTCAAGTTTCAATTTGCAGAAGAAGAATAGTTTCTGAAACTTAAAATCGCAACACGAAAATGAAAATCGCAACACGAAAATGACTATCGCAACGCGAAACTAAAATCGCATTGCGATTCTGTCGTTGCGATTTTCATTTCGCGTTTCGATTCTCGGCTTCAAATACTAAAATTGAAACTTGAATGGATTGCATTACTTCAACCAAAAGACAAAACAAAGACAAATACTAAATTCACAGGGTTTAAAGACTAAACAGTTTAGCAGTATTGGCAGCAATCGAATGAATTTAATAAGCAATCTAAATGAAATGGTTAATTTATTATTGAAATTACCAGTAAACTTATCATCAATTTCAATATGAAAAACCTAATAATAATTTAAAAATTTCAAAATAAAAATAATTTAAAAAACTAACTCTCGGTGGTTGATTTTCCATTTATGACCGTGAATGATTGTGAGGGTGGTTCTGAGAGATGGAGATAGACGGATTTCGCCGTAGATGAGGACTGATTTCGTCGGAGATGGGGACGGATGTCGCCTTAGAGAGTGAGAGATGGAGATGAGACTGAGTTGTGATTTAGGGTTTTAGGTTATGAGTTGCGATTACGGGATATACTGTGGACGGTTCAGTGTTCCGATATATTAATATTCGTGTTTGGAATTTGAAAAAAAAATATATGTTGCGATAATAATGGCACTTTGAAAATCGCATTGCTATAGTCAGCATCGCGTTGCGATAGTCAGAATCGCGTTGCGATAGTCAGAATCGCGTTGCGATAGTCATAATCTCGTTGCGATAGTCATAATCTCGTTGCGATAGTCATAATCGCATTGCGATAGTCATAATCGCATTGCGATTTACATATTCGCATTGCGAATTCGGAAAATTGCAACGCGAATTTGGAAAATCGCAATGCGATAGTCAGAATCGCGTTGCGAATCTGGAAACTGATTTGCGATACCGGAGATCGCGTTGCGAATTATCGATCGTATTACGATTTAGTTGGTCATTTTGACAAATCTAAAAAAAATTAATTAAAATCATATATTTTAAGGCATTTTTGGTCGCTGAAATTATTTTCTCTATAAATATTGGGAATTGAAATTAGTTATGTATGCGTGTGAGGTTTAAATGGTTGAAATCGGGTTTTCCTTTTTCAATTTTCCATAAAATGGCCTCTTTGGTTCTTTTCAATCTTGAAATTGGACAAATTGGTCCCTATTAAAAGTTAATTTAAGTTCTGTCTTTTATAAAATATTTTTAAAATTTTATGTAACTTTGATATAATTAGTCTTTATTTTTTTTAAAAAAAATGACGAATAGTCTCATATGCATTTAGGGATAACGAGGTGGGGTTAGGTTGATCTAATTTCACTTGGAAAAGTGTATCGCTTCAATATGAATCTATTTCGATCCTAGTTTAGGGAAGTCATATTCTATTTAAAACTTAACTCGAATTTTGGAATAAAAATATCCGTATGATCCAATAGCATGCATTAATATATAAAAGGATATTTTTCTTGATAAAATAGAAATATAATTGAAAAAATATAAAAAAAGATGTTATAATAATTATCTTTAAATATAAATATGTAGAAAAATTATATTATTTTCTGGAATTAAGTGGTCAAAAAAATTTCTCCTTAAATTTAATTTTTTTTAAGAAAAAAATCAATATGAATTTAAATTATATTATTTTTTGGAATCAAGTCAAGTCAGGTCAAAATATAATTTGATATGATTCGAATTTAATTTTTTTTATAAAAAATCAATCTTATCAAATAGAATTAAAATTTATCTAATTTAAATTAAACTATCATTCATATATATTTCCATTACCTCTTTTTGGACACACATTCGAATAAGAAAGAGGAATCAAAGTCATAAATAGACAAAAAAATAACGATAAAACCTTAAACACTACTGCCTTGTCACGTTTATTTGAATATGAAATGAGTTATCTGTAAGGGCTATTCATTTTGTAGAGTTTGGAAGGAAGAGGAAAAAGAACAACGGCGAAGAAGGCATGGCCTTAACGACCGCTAATCTCTCCCCTTATCCAAAGCTTGCTTTCAGCAACAACAATGGAATCTTTACTTCTCAATCTTTTCCCACTTCCTTTTTACCATCAAAATCCTTCTTTGGGACTTCTTCTTCTTTCTCAGCGGGATCCCTCAGTTTCTCCATCAATCATCATAGCTCCTCTCCGCCGCACATCGACGGTTCACGATGGTCTTCTACTGTCTTCCGATGCTTTTCCCTGAAATCAGAACTCTCCGTTTCTGCCGATGGCCATGTCAGTAACGGTGCTTCCGGTATTAGCACTGATCTTAAGAACCCTTTCCCCCATTAATTTATCTATTTTTATTAGGTATCGGTAAATTTGTCTATTTTTTAAGGATATCATTTCCCCTTTTCTCCATTTTCTGTAATGTTACTGGTTTTTTTTCATCTTTTTTGTTTTTTTTATTACAAGGCCAAGGAAAAATGGGAATTTCATTTTGGCCCCTCTACTTCACTGCATCTACTTGTCTGACTAAAAAAAATTGAGTCCAGTTGAGCCTTTTATTGATTTTCCCTAAATTTGAAGGGGTTATTTAAATCGAGTCCTCTAAGAGAACAACAATCTGATTTTAACTTTTAAAAGAAGCCTTTAAATATTAAAATGACACATTTAAATTTAATTGAAATGTTATTGATTGAACTTTAATTTTTAAATCTGATGCCATTAAAAGTAGGTGTATTTCAAAAAGTTACATGGACTGGGAGTGTAATTAAAACTAATTTCAAGTAATATTATTACTCCTGGATAAGCCTTCCGTGAATCATCAAACCCATAGGACTAATGGTAAAGCAGATGATTTTGACTTGAGTAGAAATGTCATTTATACTGTGCAGCGGAGAGAGTGGTGGTTCTAGTTATTGGTGGAGGGGGAAGAGAACATGCCCTGTGCTATGCGTTGCAGCGGTCGCCATCATGCGATGCCGTGTTTTGTGCACCAGGCAATGCCGGGATTTCGGCCTCAGGCGATGCAACTGGTATTCCCGACCTCGACATCTCCGATAGTTCAGCTGTGATTTCATTTTGCCGCAAATGGAGTGTCGTTTTGGTTGTTGTTGGACCGGAGGCTCCCCTTGTTTCAGGTCTTGCTAATGATTTGGTGATGGCTGGAATCCCTACTTTTGGCCCTTCAGCAGAGGCTGCTGCTTTGGAAGGTTCTAAGAACTTCATGAAGACTATATGTGATAAATATGGGATTCCTACAGCTAAGGTTTTATCTCGAATTCAATGCAAACATTTGTTATTACATTATCAGACATGTTTTCTGTTGTATTAATGCTTTTTAAAAATGTTTGGTTTAATATCAAACATTTTCAGATGCATCAGCTGCAAAGCAATACATTAAAGAGCAAGGAGCACCTATTGTTATCAAAGCAGATGGACTGGCTGCCGGAAAAGGAGTTACCGTTGCTATGACATTGGAGGAGGCATACGAAGCTGTTGATTCGATGCTTGTAGAGGGTGTTTTTGGTTCTGCAGGCTGTCGGGTCATTGTCGAGGAATTTCTCGAAGGAGAAGAAGCGTCGTTCTTTGCCCTTGTGGATGGAGAGAATGCCATACCACTCGAGTCTGCACAAGACCATAAACGGGTTGGAGATGGTGACACAGGTCCTAATACTGGTGGAATGGGGGCATACTCCCCTGCACCAGTCTTAACTAAGAAGTTCAATCTGTGGTCATGGAATCTATTATTCTCCCTACAGTTAAGGGCATGACAATGGAAGGATGCAAATTTTTCGGGGTTTTATTCGCTGGACTAATGATCGAGAAGAAGTCGGGCTTACCAAAACTAATCGAGTACAATGTCCGGTTTGGAGACCCGGAATGTCAGGTCAGTTATAGGCTGGTTTATTTGCCATCTCTTAAAGCTCCAATAACACAATAGATTCTTAAATTGCATTTGTTCTGTTATGCTCTGCAACAGGTCCTGATGGTTCGTTTAGAGTCTGATCTTGCAAAAGTTCTGCTAGCAGCTTGTAGAGGAGAGCTAAAAGGGGTGTCACTGGACTGGTCCCCCGGGTCGGCTATGGTGGTAGTGATGGCAAGCAAGGGTTACCCTGGCTCCTATGAGAAAGGGACCGTGATTCGGAACCTTGAGGAAGCAGAACATGTTGCTCCTTCTGTCAAGATATTCCATGCTGGAACTGCACTTGATTCCGATGGCAATTTCATTGCTACCGGTGGCCGCGTTCTTGGGATTACTGCTGAAGGCAAAGATCTTGAAGAAGCAAGGGATAAAGCTTACCGAGCAGTTGAAGAAATCAACTGGCCAGGAGGATTCTACCGGAAGGACATCGGATGGAGAGCACTGCCTCAAAAGCAAATTGCTAGAAGTGCTTAGAATAACATTAAAATCCCTACTTTTGACTGGACATCTTACAATAATTGGCTCTAACAGCAATTGATAAATGAAATAACCTATATGAACGACATGTCGAATTAAATTTCCGAAGAATGCCATATAGAAAGTTCTACAGTACCTGATAATCCTCTGCCCAGATTCTGTCTACGTTACCTAATTCAACTCAATAAAAAGGGGAATGGGACAATGATAGGATAGTAAAAACAACAGAGAGAATATGGGAATTCATTCTTTCAACTGTCATTTCTTTAGATATATGTACATAATTTCTTCACAAATCTATAAATCTTGTTTACCACTTCAACTTGGCAATTTATATGAACCAAGTTTGCAAGAAGAGAAAACGAAAACTCACACCAGATATGTATAAAGGAAATAAAAAACCTTCCACTGCTGATGATCAGTATGCTAGAAGGAAAAAAATTATGTACCTATCTTTCAGTTCTTCAGTCTGATGATCAGGATGCTACTTGATTGATTTCACTGCTTTATTCCGGCAAATGGTTCCTCTGACCGGGACTATCTGGCTTATCAAGCCTTGCACTTCTAGAAGGGCTAACTTTCTTAGAAGATCCTCCACTTGCATAAGCCAAACAGTCGTCGCAGCAGCAAGGACATGCTTGGTATCCATTCACCATGTTCTGTCTGCCTACCGGATAGACCCGGTTTACTGGTACATGACCATGCCCCATAGCACCTCTCACAAAGTCGTGTGGCCCTGGGGGCTTTTCAGCCCGAAAATCTGGGGATGTTCTTGGAGATGGAACACTGTAGGGTTGTAGTTGCTGGTGGTTTTGGTGATAATGATAGTGTGCCTGGTAAACTTGGTGATTGCTATGGTTGTTACTTGGCAGATGGAGGGTGTTGAGGTTGTAAATGTTGGGAGAACTCTGGACTTTAGACATGGGGGGTTTATTATGTTGGTTTCCATTTGAAACTGATGGCTCCATGAGGAAAGAGCTATTATCCGGAGAAGCTGCTTTAGGGGAAGTGCTAGCAGAGGGGCTGAAGTTGGAGCGGTTTGGGTTAACAGGGGTGAGCCTTCCACTAGTATCAGTTGAACTTGGACGAACTATGCCATTGATGGCTTCTATATACTGCTGCTCAATGGCGTAGTGATCAACAGGGTTCATTTGGTTCTCGACTACGATTGGGTTGGAAGGGAACAAGAAAGCACGAAGTTTTGGAGTTCCTTCACTTTCCAAACGACGATACTCATCAACCATGTGTTCGACATCCTCGTCGGATTTTACAGTTAACAAGGCATCAAGTTCATCAGGGATAATGGGGAATTTCAGAACCATGTCCCCTTCAACCATACTGTTCACCTTCTTCATCAATTCTGTCACATACATGTAAAATGTCACTTTTAAAAATAACGGCTTTATAAAGTTTTGCTGATTTCTTCAACTTTAAGATATTCACAGATTGCTATGATTTTTTTTCCTTCCAACACAAATATAGTTTTTGAAGAGAAAGGTTACTAAGATTTGAACTTTGGCCAAAACGAAAACATAAACCAAACAAGCAACTCTAAACACTATAACTATGGCATTGTTGACTACAGTTTAGAAATACAAGTGATCAATCCAAATTATGATAGCTAAAACACTGGAAAAATTATTAAACTGTCCAATTTTGAATTCTAAATCGATCTAAAGTTCATCCAAGTCGTAACTTGTTACCAAATAAAAACGTTTATAAAATATAGTAACAAAAAAAAGGATTTATAAAATAAATGATAAGGTGAAGCAAATATTGGCAAAACTATCAAAGACAAAAACAATGACCAAATTATCATTGGGAATGAATCGAAAACTTAACAAGGATGAAACGAGGGCAAACCTGAAAATTTGATATCCCCCGGGACCGCCACCATACGAGTCTCCCCACCAAAGTACTTGAGTTTACCGTCGCTTGGTCTGGGCAATATTTTCCCTCCGTAGCTGCAAAGAAACTTTACCCTACTCCTCGGCGATGAAGGGTTCATCGGCGATGACGGATTCATTGGCGATGAAGCCGGCCCTTCTTCGCAACCAACGGTTTCGCTCGCCGTCATTTGAGTCGCCTCGACAAGTGATTCAACTCGGGGACTTTTTGCTTCTCAATATCGAATCCTAACGCCAAATCTATGTGTTAGCGTTTTCCTCCCTGATCTGCGTTTTTCTAATTAAAATTAATTTGAAGAAAACAAATTAAAATATGATACAGCACTAAATTTAATAAAGAAATAAAAGATTAATAAATTAAAATAAAAAAATCACAAGCTTCTGTAACATGTTAAAGTTGTTCTGTTCCTGATTCTGTTTGAGGTCCGTATTCTTTCTATTCGTGGAGTGATTTGCTCTTTCTGTTATCTGCTCAAGTTTTCAACTCAGGCTTACTCGTGTTGTTAGTGTTTTCATGGTGCTGTGTAGAGCTACTGCTGTGTTTTTTCCCAGGTTTGCTGAGACAGGATGCTGCTGTCTTGCGCGCAGATCCTCTCCTGTTGCCGTTTTTTTTTATGCTTATTATCTAGTTCCCATCATTAGTATTGGGGTTGTCTGTGTTGAGTTTTATATGCTGGAATGGGGATTGTTGAATGAATGGTGTATGGATTGATTTATGTAAGAGTGGTATGGTTATTTGATATTTACCACCTCAAGGTACATTCTTTTTCCTCAATTTAAGATTAGAGAAGTTTTTTATTGAGGTTATTGAGGTGGTGTACTTTGTAATTCTTATAATACAAAATACCTTCTTTCAAAAAAATGATTCTGCGATTGGATAATCATATGATTTAAGTTGAAAAGAGAAAACAGAAATGTTCTGCAATTTCAATACAGAGAATAATCAAGAAAATAATATTGAATTAAACCATTATTTTTAATTAACTGACAATTAATGCATTCGATTCAATGTTATGAAAACTCATTGAATTAAAACTTACAAGATTCAGGTTCAGGCCGCTTCGATCGACCGATTCATTTAATTGAGCAATTGCCTCCTTCGAAATCTATTGAAACAAATTGCATCAAATTAATATATGTTGTTTGCAATCAAATTAATATGCATTTATATATTGAAGGAGAATATCATAGAGAATCTTCTTTGCATTTCCAGAAAAATAAAACAGTTTAAACAATCGTTGCTAAAATTAAAAGGAAATCAAAATTAGCAAATCTAAATAAAGAAGCTATAGACGTCAACAGAATTACTAGTTGTTTGGACGGCGAGAACTAAGTCCGAATTGTAGCAGAGCAAAAATGGAGAAAATCTGGGAATTATATGAAGAATGAAAAACAGAATTCTGTTCTTGTTTCTCTATGAATTTATAATGCGATACGTGCTTGTTGAAAATCGAACGAACGATAAATAGGTTGGCGATAAACCGAAAATAGTAAATAAAAAATGGAAATTATATCAAATATATACTCTTTTTTTGTTACAAAATATATACTCTTTAGTTTGCATAAGATTACACCTATTTTAAATATTTTATTATCAAATATACAAATACGAATTATATAAACATTAATTATTTAAATAAATTAAAATTCTAAAATGTTAGTGTTCATTAAAACAACTATAAAAATATTAGGTAAAATAATATAAATTAATCAAAATAATAAAGAATATTAAATAATTAAATTTGTTTCCTTCATAGGAATGTGCATCTCGTTATTTACATTTTTTTTCTTCATTTAATTCGATTATAAAAGATTATTTTTTTTGGCAGATGTTACGTAGAGTAAAGCATGTGTTATCTGACATATTTTTATCTTACGTGACATTATATATTAAAAAAGTATTATCATTTTCATAATTAATTACCTTTTGATTTTTTAATAATTAAAAATGATATTATTTAAATAACTTTGCCTTAATCTATATTAAGAAAAAATATATAAATCTTTTAACAGAGATGCATTTTAGTCTCTACTATTAATAGGGACAAACGTAATATTTTATGTTTGAGAGATAAATTTTTAAAATTTTAAAAATAAATAAATATATAAAATTTTAGAAATACAAGAAAATATTTCAATAAAAAATACATAAAAATATAAAGTATATTATAATTTTAAAATTTCAAGGATAACAACTGCTTTCGTCCTTCCCTCGATCCATCCTAACTATATTAGAAAAGAACAAATCAATCATTATTATCATTTTAGTGCATTACGAATTTTCCATCAGGTAAGTAACGTGTAATGTTGGGTGATAATTTTATTATTATTACGTGGTATGTTTGACGTAGACAGTTTGATGATGCGGGTTATTTTATCTTAACAAATGTTTTAATTTCAAATGGTTTAATATAAAAATAAGTGTTAAAATTATATTTAAAGTTAATTTTAAGTGATTAAAGATTTTTTATTAAAAATATGTAAATGTCGAATCGCAAATGCAATCTGGACAACGTTAGTCAAGGAGGACTTGTTGGCTGAATTTCTCACGATGGGCATCAAGGATTGGCTGCGATATAATATGGAGAATTCGAAGCAATTTGTAAGAGATGAGGAGGTTTGGGACGTTATGTTTGGAGCGATTTTCTGAAACTTATGGCGTCATCGGAACAAATTGGTATTCGATCCTGAAAATATCAAAAGAGGTTCGGACGTTCGGTATTGGAACAAAGTCGTCGACTAGTTGTTGAAGTGCGTCGAGCAACGACAGCAGCAAATGAACTTCGCTATTACACGGGGCAGCAAACAAGGCATGAAACTCGATGGATGCCACCTCCAGCAGGTTGACTTAAGCTCAATACTGATGGTGCTAACAATAGTGCGACTGGAACTGCTTCTTGCAGAGGGGTATTACGCAATGAAGAAGGTCGATGGCTGCTAGGTTTCTATAAATCAATAGGTACATGTACGGCTTTACAAGCGGAGCTGTGGAGAGTACCGGAAGAACTTATCGGAGGATGGAACTTTGGTGCATGAAGACTCAAGATAAAATAATCTGGAAGTAAAGCGTCTCATTCAAAGAAAGGATCATCTGAACATAGAGTTCACGCTACGACAGCATATTTGCGGCTTATGGCTGAGAGTTTGTGAGGTAAAAATATAACATGCGTTTAGAGAAGGGAATTGAATTGCATATGACATAACTAAATTTGCTAGACGAAGAGATGAGAGGTGTCACATATGTTGTCGCTGCTCGAAGACATAATCGATAGTCTTTATTTATAAAAAAAGAAAATTGAAAATTTTGGTTCAAAGGTTAAATAAATGTATTAAATTAAACTATTAATTCGTGGAAAGAGAAAATAAAATAAAATCTTCCATTTTATTAAGATGCCAACAAGGATTAAATTAAATTATTAAAATTTTGAAGGGATTAAAATTGTAACTCTCTCATTAACCAAAACGCCAGAAGTAATACTACGATTTAATTTTAATAATGCAATTCAACATAAAAATTTATTATTGGTACTTCAAATTTTATTTATTTTCATCTTTGCACTTTAATTATATTTTGTTTTTTAACAACAAGTGATAAAATTCAAATATTTCAAAAATTGTTTCATATTTGTTAGTAATTTTTCATCAAATTTTGTTGAATACTTTCTCATCTAAAAATCAATATATTCGAACGTGAAAAAGGGTAAATTTTAATAAACTATAGGAGGTTTCCAAATGATAAATATCTATTTTTTAGACTTAAGTCCAAAATAAAAAAGGGTATCCTATACTCAAGATTTACACCTACAAATAAAGACAATCGAAAGTCGATTCCACGAAAATGCTAGAAGTTTTGGACTTTATAAAAAAAAATAAATTTCTTTTTATGTGTCTAAAAAAATCCACGTGCCATTTGACGGCCTTGTCGTGTCCCTTTGATTCTTATTTGCATTTCATGTTTTTTAACGAATAAATATTTGTTTCAACCACTTAGTCTTAAACCACGTCTATAATGAGATCTAAATGTTTTCTTTTGAGACAGTAAATTAATAAACAAATACTCTTATGTTAAAAAATTGATTTTAGGTAATCATATTTTTTTAAAATAAAATATTAACAATAAAATAATAATTTTTGAATTTAATGATAAGAAAATTGACATTTAAGACAAGTTTAAATTTCGTTTATGAAAATAATATGTTAACCAAATGCGAAATTAGAAGGATCGGAAAGGCGATTAAGTGACTCACAGACACTAATAAAAATAATAATTTAAATTCTTTAAATTTTGAAATTAAGATAATAATAAAACTATATTTTTCTCTATATAAATGATAAAATTTATATTTTGATTTTTGAAATTTTATAAATTTTTTTTGACTCACGAAAAAAATTTCCGACATCACCCCTAACATTAAGAGAGCTTACCTTCTTCTTATTTTAAGAATCCGGTTTTATTTAACTCTATATATAATCAAGACCTAATTTAAATATCGAATAACGAAATCTTGAGAAGATATAAATAATTTTTACTTTATTATATAATACTCCAACATATGAAATTAATTAAGGCAATACTATTTAAAATAAAAAAGGGGGAAATGCAATAATTAAACGATATTTAAAAAAAAAAGAAAAAAGAAAAATTGCAAAGCAGATTCAATGGATATATATAAAAAAATTCGAGTAATTAAACGACACTACAGTCTGAATAATTTCTTCCATGCTTTAAAGATCTTGTCTTTTGTGTTCTTCTTCTTCTTCACAGATATTTTAGTTCCACTGATATCTTTCGGTACTTCATCTTCATCCAGGGGAGATGTTAAAGTCACATGCTGGTCATGGATCCTACAATAACTTTCCGATACCGAGAAAGATCTTCGCATCGAGAACGCTCTCTTCACGGCAGTCTGGAGCTGGAGCGCATAAGCCGAAGAAATCGAGCTGTTTCGTCTCAGTGTGGGATCGACAGACATCTTCACCCCATCACCACCGTTTTTGTTGCATTCGGCTCGATCGTCATCGACACCGCCGTCATCTTCTTGCTCCGATGAATATTGGGCGTCGGGGTTTGAGTTTTTGGTCGGTTTTGGGGTTGGGCTGGAACTGGGTTTTGGGGTTTCGGGCTCTGGGATTGGCAAAAGATCTGAGGGAGAAGAAGACTCCATGGGAATGGAACTTTCATTACCTGCAACTTCAACTTTGATTTTAGAAGAATATAAAAAAATATGTAATATAAAATTTTAATTAATTTTTTATTAAATTAAATAAATATTAATTCATTACAATATTAAAAATGTCAAAAATATATTTAAGTATATAAATACCTATAAAAAAATATTGTCTTCGAGTATTTCTTGATGTAAAATCATTGATAATAGTGTCAACATCAATATTTTCCAACATATTTTTCTCAATATATAACATAGCTAGCCCATTCAATTTTTCCTGTGACATTATTGACCTCAAGTAATTCTTCAATAATTTCAGCTTTGAAAAATTTCTTTCCACGGATGCTACCGTTACCAGCATTGTTAATAAAATTCGATAAACAATTGAAACATTAGGATAACAATCTCCAGCTTTAACAAACTCAAGAACTTCAAGCGCTGACATGAATACATTTGGCAAAGTCAATTGCAACACTTTATTTTAAAAAAAATCATTCGCATCAACATCCGACAAATTATTATGAAAAATAATAATCTTAAAATTATTACAACATTTTTTTAATAAGTCAATAAGAAATAAGTTTATAAAATTCGATAAACAATTGAAACATTAGGATAACAATCTACAGCTTTAACAAACTCAAGAACTTCAAGCGCTGACATGAATATATTTGGAAAAGTCAATTGCAACACTTTATTTTCAAAAAAAATTCATTCGCATCAACATCCGATAAATTATTATGAAAAAAATAATCTTAAAATTATTACAACATTTTTTTAATAAGTCAATAAGAAATAAGTTTATGGGCCCTGCTTTTAATTTAGTTTATTAATATTTATGGGCTCTGCTTTTAATTTAGTATATTAATATAATTTTTAACGTTATGATGAGAACAATAAATCAATAAGAAATAAACTTATGAGCCCTCTTATATTAATATAAGAAAATAAAATATTAATATTTATGAACTTTATTTTAAATTTAATCTATTAAAATATAATAAATTAATATAAATTTAAATTATAGATCCTTAGGGTGCCCCTCTTGCCCCTGTCCAGAGCCGCCCTGGATAGGAGATAGTAGAGCACAGCATTGGTTACAAATATACATAGATAGAGAGAAGATGAAGTGAACGTGGGATCAAATAATGGACCTTTTTACCTTATTATCATAATTTAAAAAATTCATTTTTAATTAACATTTATATTTTTTTTATTAATTCTCTTATTATCAACCTTTCTTCACACAGAGAGCAAGAGTATCTAATTATCGGTGTCTTTTTATTATTTTTTAGTATGAACAAAATAAATTATTTATTACATCCAAAATAATAAAATTCGTAATTTTCATTTGAAACATCATAAATAAATCAAATCGATGAAAAAGCAGTTATGAGCCTAATGGACAAGAGTATGAGCCACAACGTTAGCTTCTCTACAGATAAATGCAACATTAAAGTTCGGATGTGTATCCAGTTCAAATCCTAATCTTATAAACATCATAAATATTTCATCAATTATTTAACAATTCGACTTTTTTCTTTTTATCTAAAATCTCCTATATTTGATAGTTACATTATGCCTTGATTATATCAAGAGTTAAATCATATAAGATTCTTAAACGAAATAATTCTTTTAATTAATTTTTTCTTTTTATAAAATTTAAAATTTATTTAAAAAATATCAAATTTAATACCACACATCCTCCACTCAACACGTGTAGATAATTATCTAAACAAATCAATGATTATGATAATGTGTCGCATCCCTATGAATTATTGGATAATATAAACAGAAAATTATTTTATTTTTTGGGGGTAAAGTATACAAATGGTACCTGACTTTTAGGTATTATTTCGTTGAGTCTTCTGCCTATTAAAAATTATAAAATGACAACTCTACTATTTATACATTTCAAACTCATCATTTTTCTTTAAAAAATTGATAATCATATGAAATAGATGTTAACATACTGAATGAGATATGATAAAATTATATTTTAATGATGTCTATTGGCACAATCATTACTTTCAAACATTGAATTGATGACATAATATTTCAAGCATTAGCTTGACGGTATAATGTAAATGAAGAGTCGATCTAGAAAATACAACTCAAATGATTTTGAGATCATATTTTATCATACCATAGTCAATAGATTAACGTCTAGCTCATATAACCACCAATGTTTAAATGGAAAAAGACTAGTTTGGAACATATGAATAGTTGAATGATCATTTTTTAACTTTTAATAGTCGGAGAACTTAATAAAATAACATCTTATAACCGTAAGATCATTTTATAACTTTTAAAAGTCAAATGACTCAAATAAAATTATATCTTATACTCGCGAGACTATTTGGATACTTTATCCTTAAATTTTTTTGTTAGATAAATATGTTGACTAAACTCTGGATCGTTGAGTTAATGCAGCAGATCCTCCAAGCTATCAGTCATTTTGGTCAATAAGTCTTCATCACGGCCACGTGATTCCCTTCTTCGTCGACTCGACTAGTTTGTGTTTTGTAATTTAGTCTTTTTAGTTTCTTTGTTTTGATTAAACATATTTTAAATTAGAACTAATCAATGTAATAATATTATAAATTATATTTAAATTTAAATAAAATTTTAAATAAATATGTTTATTTCGATTTAAATTTCTTTTTAAAAAGTTTGAATAATAAACTGTACTCATAAATTTGTTTAGTTCAATTTCTTTTAGTTCGATTCCATCAAACACTCACCCTAAGTTTAAACTGGGAATCTTCCTATTCGACATATTTTTATTAATAACATTCAGATTTGGCCGAGTGACTAGAAAAAACGAATTTAAAAAAATTATTATTGTGATTGTAACTTTTTAAAGTTTAACGGTTTAAAAAAGGGTAAACTACACAGTCAATTAATGGTTGACTAAATGAACACATGTTGTTGACGTGATAAGTCTTATGTGTCTTATTTCATTAAGAGATTTATCACATCAACCCTGTGGACACATAGGAATTGCTACATCAGCAACAAACATTGACCATTAGTCAACTAACGGTTTCTATTCAATCGAATGTCATTTTAACCCAAAATAAAACATTGGGGCTAAAATGCTTTAAAAAAGGAATATAAACCAAAGTGATATTTAATCAAATATTAGGAGTGAATTTTGACATTATACCTTTATTTTTTTATAGCAAACGGAATACACATCTCATCCCTATTGCTCTCATAGGTAAACCAGGAATTGAAGAGCTGGAACAATTTTTGGAATTTCACTTGCCAAGGGAGTGGGCACCGGTTTTCAGAGAGTTTCTCCGTGGTCAACAACACAAGCAAACGAGCAATTTATTTTTACAGTTCAACTTATTGGGTCCCAAGATGTATGTTAACACCATTCCAGTATGTGGTTTACCACTAAAAATTCTCTGCTCTTTTATCAGCTTGCACCTGTTTGTTTCATTATAATGCAAATGCATGTTGTTTGGGGAAAAAATTCCCTTGAAGCTGACCTTTCTGCTGTTGGTTTCTCTGGTGTGTTATGAAAAATGTGTTCAGGAGTCGAATGTTCTATGATCTCATCAGGATAGTAATTTATGAAACCAATAGAAGACATTTTCACATCACACCGGTCCCTTTGTGGAATTTCATAATCATTAGGTGATCATTTTCCTGTTTCTTTTGCTACAAGAAAGTCTCTTTGTGGGAGGTGATTTCATTCAAATCCTTGGTATTAGAGTGGGGAATTTCTATCAAATGCAATCATTTTGTACCTGTTGAAAATAAAAACTTACCATTATTAGAAATTCCATGACAGGTTGATGAAGGTTTGAGACCAGTTACAGGTGTTGGGCTCATTGTGGAGGGTAAACGATGCAATCGGTTAACTGTCTGCATGGAACACCTTTCTTCTCTACCCAAATCCTTTCAACTTGTCAATGAACCCGATGGTGCATTACCTGATCAAGAGTCCTATGATAAAAGATACTTGGATGGAATAACCTCTCTGTAGTTTGTACAGCTCCTGTGGAATCTGACAAAGGGTAATTCCATAGTAACTGCAGCTCAGCTACTGCTAGAGAAATATGGATCCAAAAGCCTTCTCCTTTTACGACTTAGTTTCTGTACTGTTTCCGGAACCTCTCGCGTAAGGGCGTCAGCGTGGGAGAAAGATGGTGTTGATATATTTTATTTTAAATAAGGAAATTATGTTCATATCACAGTGGTGTTGATGGATTTTATTTTGAATAAGGAAGTTAGGTAATATTGAGGGTGTAAATTGTAAAAGAGAAAAATGATTTTTAAAAAGAAGAATTAAAGCTATATGTATTCTATAATAGTTTAGGAATGTTTAATTCAGTTTTGTTAAAAAATAACTTAAAATGAAAAAAAAATTAAAGAAATAAAAAAAATAGTGATTATAAAGTTGTTCGAAAGACTTTCAATTATTTAAGAATGAACGCTCAAACATCCCATAAACAATATGCTTAAATCCAATACCTTTAGAGAAAACAATCCTTTGACATCAATGGATCATACTCTTACATATGCAATACCCGATCCGGTTTAATCTATTAATAAATTGGTAACTAATGGTTATACTAAAAATAAAATACTAAAAAATAATTCAAATTTAAAAATATTATTATTTCTCAAGATAAGTACGAGAATTAATTGTGACATATCTCCAAATTTAATTCCCAAGATTCCAAAACACACTATAAAAATCCGACAATCTCATACTGCAACATACGTTATCACACTATGGCTGACCTCAAACTGATCATTGCGTTCCCAATTCTGGCTTCAATCTCCTTGTTGTATCCATCGGCAATCGCAGCCATCAACGAAGACATGGTGTTCATTAATTACCACATCCACATAGTGAACGACCTGCCTAACGATATGCCGCCTGGTGTTCCGCCGTTAAAAATCCACTGCAAGTCTGGCGATAGGGATATCGGAGAGATGCCGATGTTCCCGCACGATGACTACCAATTTGATACGAAAGTGGACTGGTTCGCGACGACGCTTTTCTTTTGCAGTGTGGACTGGCTGGAAGGGAAGCAGCAGTCTTTCGATGCATTCGTTGCCAGGAGAGACGAGCACCGGTGCCGGAAGTACCATAACTCGTGCTTGTGGTCGGTGAGAGAAGATGGGATTTATTTCAGCGACGATAATTTGAACTGGTTTAATACGTATCCATGGTAGATCCATTGAAACGGTTGATTTTGCATTGTGAAGGGATAATTACGTTGCTATATATCAAAATCTCTCTTTAGAATAATCGAAATTATTAACCCTTTTCTATTTGATCATGAAATTATTTTTTATAAACTTTTTTCTAATTTTATATTCATTTATTTTAATCGTCGACTATTAAAAAGTTAACGTGTAATATTTTATTTTTTATATAATTTTCTCTATCTATATATTATTTTTAATAATTTTATTTAACTAATGAGATAATGATATTACAATTATTTTGCAGAGAGATATTAAGATATAATTACACTCTTTAAAAATCAAATTCTTATATAATTTAAATATTTTATTATATTTTTATTGATAATCTAATTTTATATTTTTTTAATTTTTATAATTTTATAGTTATAATTTTTAATATAATTTAATATATTTTAAAAAAACCTTACTCTAATATAAAATTATACGTTTATTTTTAATTATATAACCAAATAAAATCAAATCAAGTAGAATCATGCATTAAATATAAAACATTACAAAATGCATGAAAAGATAGAAAGCAAGTGGCGTGATTAATGATCAATTAAGGCAATAATTAAAGGATTAAGGTAAAATAAATATAGAAATAAAAAACTAAAAGACGTGTGAAAATGGAACCCAAGGCCATGCATTGAAAGCCATACCTTTGATTATCCCCTCCTTTTTTTCTATACTATTTCTCAATCAAAACTCAACAAAGTCTGACTCCCTCACAACTCACATGTCAACACAAAGGAATTTCTTTATTTTTCAGTCAAACCTGTTTTTGCTACTCCCTCAACTCAGCAACTCTCCACCTTTCTTAGGGTTTCTCTCTCTTTCAATTTGTTTGATTTTTCATTTGTTATTTTCATTTACATTTCTTTATCTTTCTCTCCGTTCAAGTTTTGTTCTTGGAATTTCCCGACCTGGAAATCCTGCAGTTTCAAAACACCTCGAAATCGAGCGAAGGGCTTGACGGGGACGGCTTCAATTTGCGTCGGGTTTTTTTCGAGCTTTAAAATCAGCTCAAAAACCCCCACCGAAGATTCCAACTTTAATTCGTGAGCTAACCTTTTTTAAGTAAAATTGTTTGAGTCTATTTTTAGTTTTATGATCAAATTGTGAAAATCGGCTCAATTTTCTTCTTAAATTGAGCTGAGTTGGTTTTAGTTGTGATTATTACTGGAAAAAGAGTATGAAAATTGCTTTTGTTTAATGTCTTTGAATATTTGAGCTCTTTATGATCTTCTGATCTGTTCCCTGTTAGTAATATTACTTAAAAGGAAAATTTTGTATGATAGATTTTGTTCTGTTTTTACACGTTGAGCTATTTTGTATGATTTGGATTAGTTTATTTATGTAAATGATTAAAATAGTATTGCTTTTGCTTTTCTTGGAGTGTACTATGTTTGGCTTGAATAATTGAATCACGTGTGAATTTGGTTCCAGTTTTGGTGAAAAAGAGTGATGCACTGAGCAATGGCACTTAAGATGCCAGCTCCAAAGGCGGCTGAGATTGCCATAGGGATAGGGTCCATTGGATGTGGTTATGATATTGGAACGGATCTTCGGCTGAAGTACTGTAAAGGGAATAATTCGAAAGATTCGTGTCTTTTTGAGATTGATGAAGATGGGGGCCATGAGATTGTTTTTCCAGGTGGAATTTCAATACCCAATGTGTCCAAGTCAATAAAATGTGATAAAGGGGAGCGCACACGATTTAGGTCTGATATTCTCTCTTTCCAACAGGTAATAGTCTACTCTTTGTTCAATGCTATTCATATCCGTATTAATAGTTAAATTGTTGCGGCATGAGTCAAATCCTGTGAAAGATATATGAGTCTTTTATTTTCTCCAGATGTCATAGCAATTCAACCAAGAAATATCTTTGACTGGAAAAATACCTTCAGGCCTCTTCAATTCCATGTTTGAATTCTCTGATTGTTGGTAAAAAGATGCTGCTAATACCAAGACGCTTGTTTATGATGGGGTGTTCATCACCCTTTACACAGTCTCACTGGAGAAATCTCAGATGGTGCTACGAGATAATGTCAGGAAAGCAGTCCCATCTACATTGGAACCTGAAGCATTGACAAGGTTGAAATTTGATGCAAATTTGATCATTGAATTCTGGCGAAGTGTTTTTCACATTGGTCATGTTAGCTAACACTTGTCCTATCAAAAAAAAATGTTAGCTAACACTTTTGTAGATGCTATGAAAATATTAAATCATCTATTGGATGGTATTATATGAGGAACTTCCAGAACACTTTAGTTAATTGTAATGCTTTTGACTTAGTTTGCTATAATAAAGCTGCTTTTCTATTTAAAAAAGGACCTTTTCATGTGGGAGGCTTTTTCTTCCTTATTCAATGAATTGGGCTTCAGCCAATGCATATTTCACGCACTGTCTCTTCGAGTTTTGTCATCATTCAACTTTTTAATTACTTTTATTCTGGTTCAACATACTCATTCTTAATAAAAACGTTAAGACTGCTTTTGTGTTGATGGCTATGAATTTTCTGATGCCCACTGCCTGCTTAATTTGATGTTATTTACTTGCTGCTTTATAGTATTTGAGGTTGATATATAATTTGGACGGCATCTCAGGTTTATTGAAACTTATGGCACCCATATAATTGTTGGTGAAAAGATGGGAGGGAAGGATGTTATTTGCATAAAACAGCAGCATTCCTCCACTCTTCAAACTGCTGATATCCAGAAAAGACTGAAGGATGTGGCTGATAAGAGGTTTTTAGATGTCAGTGAACATTATAGCATGGTGTCTGAGCAAGGCTTTTCGAATGACAAGGTTCGCTACGGAACTGTGGTGATAAATCTTCTAATCTGAAGCTGTATATATACATAAATCGTGCTCCTTGTTTGGATGGAATGAAATCAATATTTATAGTTCAATATTCTTTTACAACTGGGGCACAATCTCCATGATTGACCTGGCAAGCAGGGTGTTATCATGGAAGTGTTGCATATTGATGCCAAAATTTGTTTTTGAGAAGCACTGTTTAGAAAGGAGAGTTTTCTCACTCTCTCTAAACATAGTAACACTACATCCTGGTTTCACACTAAATATTGTATGATTGCTAATGAAGAACCGGTTAAATAGTTGCCAGAGAATACTAAATGTCTGTTACTGTTTTATTGGTTTTAATTTATCTTTCATTCATCCTTATAAGTGAGCTATTGGCATAATTTGTGTTTCTTCCCCCCTGAGGCATCTAATCGATTTTTTTCTTTTTCAGTTTGAAATCAGGGAACAGCGATTAAGGTTTGCTAATAAGAGTCCATCAAGTTCATATGCACATAAAGAGGTCAGTTTCCTTTCATATGGTGTTGTTTGCTTAATAGTTAAAGCTCCTTGATAAAGGTTTATATTTCTTTCCCGATATCAATGTTGTCAATAATTACCTCAAAATTGCAGGATATTATAACTATTTACAAAAGGGGAGGTGGAAGTGGTAATAGAAACCTTTCTCATAATGACTGGTTACATACGGTTCAGTTAGAGCCTGATGTAATCTCAATGCCCTTTATCCCTATTACTTCTCTGTTGAATGGTTCTATCAAAAAAAAAAAAACTTCTCTGTTGAATGGAGTTCCGGGCTGTGGTTTTTGAGCCATGCCATAAATCTATATTTGCGATGTAAGCAAGACCTACGATTCTCCATCTACCTAATGCATTTTTTTTTATTTTCTTCTACTGCTTGCTTCAAATTATTGCATCTGTTTTTTTCCTTCCTAAACACGAAATGCCTTTATTATTTTCTGTAAGAACTATGCCTCATATTTTTGCTCCTTTAAAAAGTCTTTCTAATTTGTTTAATATAGTGTGTCGTAAGTTCACTAACCATCTTATTATTGTGCAATTCTGAGGCAATCAAACATGAATTATGATCTTATTTTGATTAAACCATTAGTTAAATGATGGTAAGTTGTTGGTATGTACCAAACTACATCAATAGGAGTTGGTCCTTGATCACTTTTGTTATCTTGAAATCCTTAACTAGCAGTGTTTAACTAAGAGCACTGGCGGAACATTGGGGGGGGGGGGCAGGGGGAGCCTTGGCCCCCGCCAATTTTTTTTAATTATTAATTAATATTAAAAATTTATATATTTTTGAAAATTAAATAAAGAAAAATTTACCAGGCCCCCTTCAATTAAAAAAATTGCATTTATGGAAAATAAAAAATATTTTAACTCCCGCTATAATAAATTCCTAGTTCGAGAGAGAGTTGGAACAGAATAATTGGTTGGTATTTCTGGCTTTACATAATCCGTGTCATGACGACAATTTGTTATTGGATCTTGTTTACAGTCAACTTCGCTTACTTCTGCAAATGTTAACTTCTTTTTTACAGCAAATGTATGCATGTTTCATCCATAAGCTATTGCTGTTACAGATAAACCACCAATTGGAGAGCTCCGCCAGTTTTTTGGAATTTCAGCTTCCGAAACAACGGGCACCAGTTTTCAGTGAGCTTCCTCTTGGTCCACAATGAAAGCAACATAGCACTGCATCTTTGCAATTCAGCTTCATGGGGCCCAAGCTTTCTGCGAACACTACTCCGGTAAAGAATTTTGTAGATTTAAAATCTTCTGGCTTTTTTTAGGTAGATGGAGCGTTTGGCAGTGTAGATTTTGTCCATACGTGTTGAGTAGTTTTTATTAGCCCTTCAGCTAGATAAACTTCAGAACGTGTTGATATGCTGGTGTTAGATTTATAGATGATCGCTAGGGTCTCTTCAGAACATGTTGATATCCATATCCATGTGTTGAGTAGTTTTTTTTATTAAGATTTCGTCTTTCTTAGATCTCCAAAGGAGAGCATAATTCAACTGTCGCATGGGCATGGCGGAAGTTTGAAACTGATTTTAGCTATTGGGTCGTTGAGCTGAAACCATTAGTGGAAAGTCTTTGTTAATATCAAAAAGAAAGGAACTATACCTAATTTTTAGTTATATATTTTCATGACAGTTTGATGTGGGTAAGAGGCCTGTGACCGGCCTTCGACTGTATCTAGAAGGTAAAAGGAGCAACCACTTGGCCATCCACTTGCAGCACCTTTCCTCCCTTCCAAAAATCTTCCAACTTGTAGATGATTCGAAAGGGAATTTCTGCCAAGAGTCTCATGATCGTAAATAGTATGAGAAAGTTTATTGGAAAAACTATTCTCATGCATGCACAGCTCCCATCGAGTCTGATGAGGATCTTTCAATTGTAACTGGAGCCCAATTGCAGGTTGAGAATCACGGTTTTAAAAATATCCTCTTCTTACGACTACTCTTTGCAACCGTCTCGGGAGCTATTTTTGTTAAGCAGCCAGAATGGGAGGGATCACACGGGTCGGTAGCCAAGTCTGGACTCATATCCACATTAATCAGTCATCACTTTACACAAGTTCAGAAGCCACCTCCAAGCCCAGCTGATGTGAATATAAACTCCGCTGTTTACCCTGGAGGTCCTCCCGTGCCCATTCAAGCTACCAAGCTTTTGAAATATGTTGATACAACCGAGATTACACGAGGGCCACAAGAAATTCCTGGATATTGGGTTGTTTCCGGGGCAAGATTAATTGTCAAGAAAGGAGAGATCTCTCTCCTGGTAAAGTCTTTATTGACTGCACTATTACCTGATGAAGATGGCATCGATGAGCAATAGACGATTTTCCCTTCCACGTAACACTTTGTATTCTTTGCCCGCCATGGAAGCAAACAGTAATAGGAAAAAGTTACTGAATATGAGAGAATCCAAAAATATATAGGAAATGGGGAGTGGAAACATAAGAATAGTCAGATTTACAGTGATAAAACTTCATGGGGATGGGTGAATGGAAGAGTGGTTAAAGAGCTTAGGTGTGTTGGGGATTCCATTACTTGCAATTTTTATCTTGTAATGTAATTTTATTTTTTTACTTTCTTTCTAATATAAATTATTCAAGTTTGTGATTTGCAGGGGATTGTCTTCTTTGGGTAAAACCAGCTTCAAGATTATAAATATTTCATTGGATAATAGTATTAGGATACAAGAAGGTTGATTGTTGATAAATATAATAAAGAACATCGCGGATATACAAAATTATGTTCATGGGGAGGCCAGTAGATGCCTTCCCTTGGGCAAGGGAGGGGAGCAAGTTGAGCAATGTAAGTAGGGTTCTGCTCTCCTGGCATCACCACCAACAAATCAGTCGCATATGATGCCGATACCTGCCATCACGACGAGTACATCAAATACACATCATCTTTCCATAATCATTGCTGAGGGCCAAAGGGTTATAAGCTTAGTGATCGAAGAGTCGAAAACCGAAATCCGTGATCATTATCTGGTTAAATTTTCTTTGTTTACGAAGTAATGGTGCCAAAAGAGAAAGAACAGCAGAATGTGCAGGCTACATTAACTTAACAGCCTGATGAGATAGAAGCTTACTCTTTGCGGATTCACGAGTTTTCCGACTGCTCCAGATCCTAGAGCTGCATCTTCATCCGGTGAAGAAAAAGCAGGATTTTGCTGAAAGGGGTGTTCAAAGATGGCCATGATAACAAACATTGATATCAAGATGGCGGTAGCAACAAAGCCAAAAGAAACGGCATTCATGGATGTCCCCAAGTTTCTCAACGGCGGTTCCTTTTCGACTACAGGTTGAGACGGACTCGAATCTGAACTTGGGTATATGTTCCATGGCATTGATCTTCCAGTTCCAAACTCATCCATAGTTGTTTCAGAAAGGCAGTGATCGTTCTTGTAGAAACAGATACAACAACAATAACAAAACTCTATTCCCATATGCAATGGGGTAAGGGGGAGGTAGGTTAGTAGGCTGTCCCCAACACCAGGTTGAGAGCAGCTTCCGTGGAAGACCTCCGGCAATTCAGAAAATTAAAAATACATATTAAATACAATGCATGTATAAATAAATAAATGAATATATAGTTAAACAGTCTTCATATGCAGTCATTCATAGTATTCTTAAATAAATCACAGCACAACTGTCGCAGATTCAGGCATAGTTGCAGGTTATTCCTCTAAGAAAAATGAACCTCCTCATTCATGAGTTGTCATAGTCTCTTGTAAAAGATTGACAAAAGGAAATCATCAAAATCCAGGAACATTTATCCACATTTCAAGGGCAAGATGTCTCCAAATGGTGAACATAGAAAATGCATTCAATACGAGGAACAATAATCACATCTTGAAGTGATCAAGTCAGTAATACACAATTCAGAGAAATTCGCAAGTAAAATTAACAAGAAAGGATGTTTGTGAATGAAATGCTCAAAGAAATTTTTACAGGAAAAAAATGCTATAGATATAAACATTAGCAGGAGGTACAACATAGTGAAATCGTTTTCAGACATTGTAGACCCATCACATAGTCGAATATGGACACTGATAAAATAGTCATTTTCGGGTGATTTTGATCATTCTGCTTGAGAAGAAGATAAGAAAGTGGCACTTTCAGGCTGCCATAGCCCTTAAATACTGTCGATGTCGATGTTGATATCACAATCAGGATCTCTAAATCATAGATGTATGATGAAAAACTGAAGAAAATAACACTGACCCAAAGCTTGCAAAGCATCATTACAAGTGAAAATAAGCTCACATCAGTACTTACCAAGAGAGGAAAATCAGCAGACCTTTGATCCTATGGCACTAAGACTGCCCTGGAAAAAACGAGACAGGCACCATTTCTCAAGGGCTAAGAGCAGCTAGCTTTTATATACAGAATTGAAAAATGTAAAGACAAAGTTATATGATAATTCCCGGCAGTGTGCACTTTGCTTGTGATCTTCTGTGAATGAGAATGATGACGAGAAATCCTGATGACTTGATTAATACTATACACTTGTTTGAAGAAGCAAAAACCCTAACGAAATCAAAAGCCATGGGCCTTGCTGTCTGGAGACCAGAAACCAAACATAAATCTCTTGGTTTTCTTTTTAAAGTTTGTCACCTTTTAGTTACTGGATTTACTAAATTAAATCCAATTCCACATGAATTTGAAATCCAATACAAATATAATTTTTAACTGCATTCAAGTAAGAATTTCAAAGATTATGAATTTTTCACTTGAGAAGATGATTGTAACCATCATTAAGAATTAATGAAATTTTACTTATGACAAAATCTTCCATTATATCATCATCCCAACATAAAGTATTCAGGTGTAATCATGAGAAAGATGACCAAATCTAACATAATCTCCGACTAAACCAAATAAAAAATGAAAAATATGAAACATACACAATTGCAGTATTATCTTTAAGAAAAGTTGGGTATTTGATTCAAAGCAAACACGAGAACAACAACAGGATAGAAAAGCACATGAAAAAGAACACAATAAGAATTGACTTGAAAGTTCAGGAAGAAAAAGAGGTGATTGAGAGTGAGTGAGAGAGAGAGAGAGACCTTACAGCTATGCATATGCAGTGCCATAAATGTAATGATTCAAGAGAAGAATGAAGAACATGAACTGTGGCTTAAAGCAAAGAGCTTGAGAAAACAAAACAAAGGGTGTGATTGATTCAAACCAGTAAGTATTAAAAAGCAAACCTGGTGAGGTAACTGTGCAGAGAAACCCCATCACTTTTGTGAGAAACACTAAAGCTACTTCTACATTGAAGAAATGATTAGAGGTGAGGACCCTTGAAAAAGAAATAGCTTCTTCTACCTCTTTGTCAAACAAGATAATCAAAATGTCTTTGAAAGCCTATCTAAGATCTTATCCAATAATATCATAAAGTTTTTTAATTTAAATCAACTCATAATTTTGCCTAGTATTATACTTCATGGACAATGACATCCTCAACTGAAAAAAACAAAGATTAACAGCAACAACACTTAATTTACACTGAGGTTTCATTCTTCAACTACCACTCACCTGAGGAGGAGAGGCTTGTAGGGTGCAAATATTTATTTATATATATACACACACACTACAAAATTAAAACAATAGCAACAAGATTTAATCACATTTGTAAGTAAATTTAAAATTATAAAGATATTTTTAAATTTAAAAATTTAAAGATAATAATTAAAAATATAAAAAAAACATATAGTGTATTTTTTGTTATTTTTATCCATAGAGATAGACAGAATCAGATCAATTTAAAATTTATATTTTATTTGATTTAGTTCATGTTGATCTAATTCTGATTAATTTTTCATTTACAAATTCTTAACAAATAATATTAAAATTAGGGGTGAGCAAAACTCGACTCGAAAAACCGATTTTTTTACTCTACTCGAATCGACTTCGATTTGTAATTTCATAAACTCAATTCGACTCGAATTCAAGTTCAAACTGATTAATTTTCAAGTTTGGGTCGAGTACCTCGACTCTGTATGTGATATATGTATATCACATATGAAAAAAATATGAAGAAATATTATTGTTATAAAAACTATTTAAATTAGAATTAAATCATATCATAATATTATAAATATTTACAATTTAATTGAAACAAAAATTCGACTCGATTCAACTAAAAAATAAGTCAAATTCGAGTTATAAAATAGATCTTGTCAACTCGAACTTCCCGATCAAATGCTTACCCTAATTAAATCTATGATTCTGAAGCCAACATGATGTGGTCACGGGTAGTAATTTAATTTCGAGAAAATTTGTCACTATGGCTTTGTTAATAAGATTAGATATATGCAGGAAACGTTTTGTACAATAAATTTTCAATTATATGCAAATAATTCTTGACCCAACAGTACTTCAAAATATATAAATAGTAAGAACTAAATTTATTAAGGACTTAAAATACATATTTCTAAAATACATATTTATATTCAACGGCACATTCAAACGTGAATAAAAGCCCTTCAATAATTTATTTTTGACAAATATTAAAAAACAAAAGGGGCAATTCAAAATCATGCATAAGGACATATTTCTAAAAGATGATTGTCTCCTATTCTCATGTAAAACATTTCTAAAATATGATCGTGCATAAGGAAAGCACACTAAAGCTCGTCTTGAAAAACAAGACAAAATACAAAATTCATATCATATATCTTCTTTTATCCTTCCCCATACTTTTTCACAACCATGTCCCTGAGTCAAGCCACCATGGCCTTGAGCTTCCCATAGAACTTGGCCTTCTCCTGTGTCGTCTGGAAGCAACCATGGCCGAACTTGGATGACGTATCGATGAACTTGAGCTTGATCTCCTCCAGAGCAACCCTAGATGTTTGGTGCAAAAGGGTTTGCCTCAAAGTCACAACACGTTTCTTTGGCCCAACACAGCCACCTTTAATCATCAAATAATCCTCTTTCACCACACCATAATGGGGGAATCCACCCATTGGGGTTATATCCTTTTCAGTCCTGAAATTTGGAGAAAAGGGAAGGAGGTATTAAAAATGCCTCAGTTGCAATAGTTAGCATACAAATATAAATAGAACGTTGGGATAAGGGTGCTTGGCTACCCGTCGTATTCGGTCATGGCAGCATGTGACTCTTGTCCAGCCTTTCCAAGCTTGTACACTTTCTTATTCATCTCGGTGCGGTGATGGTAGCCATTTTGGCCAGCCCTGGCAACAGTAAAGGAAACCCTAGCTGGATGCCATGCACCAATACAGGCAACCTTGCGAAGACCACGATGGGTCTTACGTGGGAGACGGGTAACACCCCATCTGGTCACCACACCCTCATACCCTTTTCCCTTGGTCACACCAATGATATCAATCATCTCATCTTTCTGGAACACAGAATCAACAGGAATAGGTTTCTCAAAGAAACTGTAAGCGAAGTCAATTTTCTGGGCAACAGTTCCACCATTGACTTGAACCTCCATTAAATGAGCCTTCTTCTGCTTCAAACCCTTCATTTTTCTTATCTGCAACAATATACAACAAAAGATGTAAAGAAGTCAGAAAAACATAAAGGTAAAATGTTCAACCGTCAAGAATTGGAAGGATAAACATAATTACAAATTACAGAACTACTTGAGGGGATATACCTGAGTGTGGGCCAAAACACGAATCACAGTGCAATATTTTTTCAGTTTTTCCAGCTGCAATTGAATGTCTTTCTTACCATCTTCAGTTTCAAACTTCTTGGAGTACTTGGTGAAAGCTTTCTTCTTAGATTTGCACCAATGCTTATAGAACCTTCGTTTCACCTCTTCACTCAGATGCTAAGCCCACACAGTGCCCAAGGTACGAAGACCACGAGGAGTTTTGACATATCCAACAACAACCATAGGTGGTCTCTCAATGATAGTAACTGCTTCACAAGTCTCCTTCTTGTGAAGTTCTGGAAGAAAAAATATAAATACATTAAACTAACCAACTAAACATGGAGGAGAACGACATAAAAAAGCACATAAATTCCAAGGTTTCAAAATCATGATCTAGAGAAAAAATAATTACTTGATCCAGGCTTTTCAACTTCCCTCACTATATGGGTCATCCCAGCTTTGTATCCCAAGAATGCAGTTAGTCCGCATGGCTTAGTAGGATCATCTTTTGGGAATGCCTTCACTGAACTACCACAAAAGGAGATGAAAAAACTCAGAAGATTCTAATTAACAAAACCATAGAGGGAATTAAGATAGCCAGAGCGACTTAAAATGTTTTAAATTAGCAAGCTGCACATGATAGGGAAAAGGGCTCCACTCAGCCATTGCATCAGAGATTATGTAGGATTAAACGACAAACTATTAAACTAAAAGGGTTTCCACTTGGCCACGGCTAATGCTATAAACCATTTGAATGATAGGATAATCCAACAATATTACTAAACATAACATCAACACTTTCTAACTATAAAACAATTAAATGGAAACATAGAGAGAAAAAACCTTTTCCTCTGTGGCGAGAGGCTCTTTTCCTTGGGAGAAATCCCAAAGAGCCATGCCTTGGATGCTCAAACTTGCGATGAGACATGTTTCTTCAACAAACAATATTCTGCAAAATTCCAAACAACTCATTTCCAGTCCTTAGCCAAATCAATGTCATAACGAGCAAAACTGAAGTTTTGAATATAGATAGAAGCTAATCAAGCATCGTACAATTTTCACTAAAAATCCAACTATATAATTCTAAATCGAAAGAGTATAAAAAAGAGTTAACCCTGGATGATAAAACATATCAGGAACAATGTCATGAACAAAGGCATGAACTTTAAGCATGCCAATTCTCGAGCTCCTTTGGTATTTCTTTCCAAAACCCCATTTTCAGGGTTTTGGCAAGAAGAGCTCTTTTCGAGACTCCAGCCTTGATTTACGCAACAATGTCTTTTCATGTGGAAATCCATTTCAATCATCGCCAGAAACTGAAGTTAAATCAATACGCTTTCATACACCCTGAGCATTACCAAACGAAATCAGTCATTCACATAAAAAACTAAAGGAAAAAATTCAAAAACTTGGAATGTAATTCGCTACAAAACTTTGAACGCTAATACCTCGAGATCTGAGAGAAAGTGAAATAAAAAATGGAACAAGCTCGAGAGCGGCTATCAGCTTCTTCTGTTGATAAAATAAATGGAAGTGGGCTTGATGAAGGCCGCAGTCTGTCCAATAGTAAAAATGGGCTCCGCCATTGGATTGCTCAATGGGTTGATCGTTGCCTATGAGTGAACGTTGTCTTGGCCCGACAAAATCGGTTTTCGTACAAAGAATTCGTTCATAGTTTAAGTCCCATAAAAACACTTCTAAATATAGAAAAATTATGAATTTTTTATATGATTTTTCACATGTCAACGAGATCAATAAAAAATTATTTTATAATTAATTATATCAATCGAGTCAATCGAATATTTCAATCTACGAGTAGTTATTAATCAACAATTCAATAATAAAAATCATTATAAAATTTCTTAACTAAAACTAAAAAAAGGGGCTATGATCATTTTATCTACTCCTCACTCCTCTACCTCCTTATGGATAGAGAGGATCCAACATTAAGAAGTTAAATTTTATAGAATTTGTAATTTCAAAAGGGTAAAGTACAAGGGTGGTCATCCAACTTTGGATTTTGTTTTATTTTAATAGTTAATTTTCAAAAGTTCTTTTATGATCATTCAGCTTTTAAAGTTTTAATTTTCAGTCACTCGCCGTTAAATAGTACAAGGGTTACTTTTTTTATTATTTAGTTATTACAAAAATGTGTAAATGTTGGTGGAGTGATTGGAAATTAAAATTTTGAAAAGTTCAGTGATTGAAATAAAAATTTTAAAGTTAGATGACCAAAATAGAACTATTTGAGACGTTAGGTGACCACCGTTGTACTTTACTCTTAAAACGATAAAATAAAATGGGCTGTATAATCTATATTCAAGGACGAAAACAAAAATGGCCCAATGGTCTTCATGATTTAAATGGTCTCAATCTCTCAGATCAGGTACCAGATCCAATCCCTAGAGCTGAACCAACAAATAATGGAATTTAATGTATCAAAAAAGTTTAGTGCTTAGGGTTTAATGTTTATATATATATATATATATATATATATATATATATATATATATTTTTTAAGGATGGGTTATTATTTTTCAATCATCTTATAATAC